TTCATTTTTGCTTCCTGGCGGGCGGCTTTTTCATGGTCCGTATCGTTTTTCGCTCATTATATCCAACATATTTTTACAAATATTTATTTTTCTCACATGCCATTCATTTTTCTGTCTTCGTCTTTTGTTTTGAAGAATTTTCTGCTCGAAATCTCAAATTCCAGTTATAAGCAAAGAGCGAGTAAAAAAAATATATATATAAATATATTCGGTCGAGAATCAATTTAAATATTTTTCCACGACTCTTGGGATTTTCATTCCATCTTCTTCTCATTTTTTTATGTAAGACGTTCGATTTAAAAAATGTATCCTTAGGCTTTCACCGAAAATTTTACAATTTTTATAAGGTTGTTTTTTCCATTTGAATCGAGTACAATTGAGTTTGCTGATACTTTCAAATTTGAGAATGGCTATTTTCTAATAGATTCATATGAATATAGGTAGGAAAAATCACATTTCACGGAGTTTTTTTTTACTAAAACAAAATGGAGAAATGCATTTCAGCCTTTATAGTCATGATTTTTAGAATTAAAACTTTAACAGTAAGAATAAGGCACTAAGTAGTAGTAGTAGTAGTAATAATAGTGACACAACCCGATATTATTTCGAACTTTTATTATAACTTCAACCCGTAAAACTGTATCATTTGTGCTCTAATTGGCCTACCTTTAATTGTACATATAATGAAATAATATATCGATAAATGCATAATAACTAGATCCCTTTTAATGGACCAATTTGAAATGGAACAGTTGACTACATTTTTCGCTAACAAACTAGATGGCAATTGCACGGAACACTGAGCAGATTCTCTGATTTATGGTCCAGATGACATCAAATGATCTTTTCTTTTTTGTCTTTGATCTAACCATATTGCGATGCGAAGTTTGAATGTGAGTTACAGTATGTCGAAAACAGATGTCGAAGCTCTACGGGAATCGACTCTAAGAATTTTCACCCATTTAAAAGAATCACGTAAAAAACAGAAATTTACATGTATAATATAAAGAGCAATGAATTCTTATGTTGTGAAAATTCCCAAAGGTACAATTCCCTTGACCCCACTCGGCAAAAAAAAATCACGGATTGAGAAAAAGCTGAAATGATCCAATGAAAGTCGGAGGAATGGCGGGCAATACATCAGAAGTCATTTGTCATTCTCGTCTTATTTTTTGGTTAAAGGAGATTTTCCTAAACTTTTTTTTTCGATCAGATTGGCTAAAATGACGTTTCCTTTAAAAGAAGAGAAAACACATTTTGCTCTCGAAAAACGAAAATCTTGGCGGTTTTTAGTTGCTATTCTTCTAATAGGACAATTTTGATCGATTGAGGCATATGTCAGAAATTTTTGCAGATTTTGAGTTAAGCTGAGCTTTTGTTCTATTTATTGACATGGCCTCATAATCCTACTATTTAAAAAAAATGAAATCTCTTATTTTTATACCAATTGCTAAAAAATTGGGAAAAAACATTTCCCATTTTGCAGCTGCATAAACAAAATTAAAAACTGCTCGCTCATCGAGGAAATCGTTGACCTCTTAAAAACATCCTGTTGCGGAAGACATTTTTGAAAAATAATTTTTGCTTTTTTATCCTTGATAACACATTTGATCTCATTAGCTTCGAAAATTTCCAGAAATCAGGAAATACCTGAAAAATGTAGTTTTGTGTGATTTTTATAACTTTTACTTTTTCAATGGTATTTGAAATTGTATTGTCCAATCTCTCAAAGTATTTACAACGCGACATCCAAATTTGGCAGTTATGAGGATTTAATTTCTATTTTACTTTATTTTACCAGTGTATTAGCCCAATTTCCGTTTTTTTTCGCGTCAAAATTGTTGCAATTGGCTTCGCTTGTTTCATTTTATGAGCTAGTTGTGTAAAACGAACTCTATGCTTTGACCTCTTCCTTTTTTCATTCATTTTACATAGACACCACATGCCGTGTAGTTTTTTTCTCAACTTAGTTGCCACAACATATGTAAGAAAAAAATGTTGCGACTTGAAAACATTTGTTTGAACCTTCGCATTGTCAAAAGCTAACGTCGTGATTTTATTTTCAAATCATCTGAGCTTGTTTTTTATTCATCTATAGCAAGTGGTGTGAAGCGCCTAGTTAGTTAATGAAAAATTCCATGGGTGTGTGGTGAGAGTGTGTGTGTGTGTGTGTGTAGGCTTTTCAAAACATTCGATTTGTTCAGCTGCTCCGGACTGGATTGTTTATGCCATTGAGCATCAAAGGCACTAAATTGGCAACGCATTTAATCATACGTCACTTTGCATTTATAGAAGAATTGACCACACGCAAAAAAACCGAGGGATAAAATAAAAGAGGCAAGAATTTCGCGAAGCTGAACACACCACTTCAAAAGTTTTTATTTTCCACTTTCCAGTGTTGCTTTGAATATCTTTTCATTTTCAGTTTCCAGTTTCTTTTCAATTGCTCATGCGTTTACTTGTCGTGTGATGATTCTAGAAAGAAAGAAAAGTTTTTCATTACGACGAGAGCTGGATCGCAAAGAAAAAACCGTCAACAATTGGCGCTTAACACATTTTCTCTGAAAATATGCGCGCATATTGTTCCTTCATACATAATTCCACACACTTTATTAATTATTCCTTTCAAATTTGGGAAAACTTAGAAATGAACGAAAAAAAAAACACAATGATATATAAAATAATGAGTGCGGGCGGTGGTGGCGCACACCAATATAGTTGCAGAGATTCGATTTGGGGACCATCTAGTGAATAAAACACAAGTTGAAATACCAACGTCACACGCGGTTTGCCTAGTTTCGCCCACCAGCAGCAATTTACCAATTTTTCATGAATTTGGTTATTTGATATTCCCTGCGCATAAACGTCATTCTATTTTCTGACATTAGTGAAATGCGAAGTCGTTTATTGTTTAAAAATCAAACATTTTGTCTATGCGTGGGTGTTAAAAATCAATCAAATAAAACTAAAAAATTTTATATATAAGCATTTCAAATATATAGTACCTCAATCCCGTTTCAAATAACAAATTTCATTTGTCTTTTTTAAATATTCATTTTTATCAGATTTGGGCCATAATCGATTTATTGACTATATGACATTGCTAGAATATTGTTCACTTGCAAAGAACTTTATTGTCATATGATTATTATATGTCAAACATAGTTAGTCAAATTTTTCCATGATTTCAGTCGACTTCTAAGCAACATTATTCGAAACTCACAAATCTCTACCTACTGTGTGAAATATTTGTTCATACGTTTAATTATCGTTATATTTCCTAATCAAAGCCTGTGATGATGAATAATTTTCCCAGTCCCCAGGCTTCAATATTTTGGATTTACACAAATGTTGTTTTTTTTCTTGTTCGTTCTTCGTTGTTCATAGAGATGCAGATTTGAAAACGTGGGAAAAACGAGAAATTTTAAATTGGTCCAAAGTCCACCTACATATAATTCACTTGACGCTCGTTATTTCAAATTTTTTGGATTTCATCTCTACAATATTTTCCCCATTTGAAATGCAATCCCAAGAAATGCAATTTTTGTGAATTCTCGTTCATTTTCTGGATGCTTGGCAACAACTCAAGACGCTTTTAATGAAGTTTTGGAATATATTTGACCGTTATGGGAATCTTTTCAAAATAAAAATGTTAAACTCACTTCACTGCTCCCTTACTTGTTTCTATTCTGAACCAAGCTGTGGCCTAGGGCAAGTATGACGGTGCTGAAATTCAGACTTCTTGCACTTCATTACATAGCCCCTCTTCAAGTAAACACCAGTGTATCTTAATTGACAACTCTATCATAATCTCATAAGACTGGTAACACTTAAAACTGTTTCGTCGCTTCTTCATGTTAACGGTCACATTCTATACATTAGCTACTACTGGTCGATAAATACTCAAAAACAATTTTTTTACTGAAAGTTTGCAGTTGGTAGCAGGAAAGCGCTCAGATTAATTGTTTTCTAGTCAAAATTAGAACAAATCTAATTATATGTGTATACCAAGGGCACACATCGTCATTTTCATTTTCATTTTCAGAATGCGATTCTCTTTTAGTTGGTTTAAATATTAATTGAGTTTTAACACCAGATGTGAGCAGTTGCGAAATATAAATCATCAAAAATTGTTTGTTTTAATAATAAAACTGAAACTATGTGACTGATTTTCCTTTGAAAGACAAAACGTCGGCAAATATGCCGTTTTATTATTGAATTGGTCCACACAGAGAGAAAAGGGTGGGAGGGGGGGGGGTTGTCGGCTGTTACGCTCATCAGATGCACATCGTTCGTGTTGTCGCTTTTATAATTAATTTAATGAGACAACTATACATATGCGCTATAACCCCCCTATAGGATACAATTGAACCACTTCAACTCAATTAAGTGCATCAATTTTTTCGTCGTATATATTGGACTCTCTTCCTATGCTCACAGTAGGCATTCTTTGAATTTAGGTTTTCTCTTACATTGTATAGATTTTCAAGAAAACATCAAAACGTTTAAAATTTCTTCTCGATTTTTTCACATTTTATATGCCGTGTTTCGATTAAAGTGATTGATTCAGACGATTCGATATATTTCTCTATCCTGAATGTAATTTGAATTCGCTTAAAAAGAAGAGGTGTGACACAGCGTTTGCTAATGATTTATAAACGACTACAAAATTTTCAGGGATTCGGACACAAAAAAATATAGCAGAGAGAGAGAGAAAATGTGTGCCTGCGAAACCTCAATGAATTTCAAGCTTGGGTTGCTACGAGTGTTGCCATCAAGTCATTTTTCATGCTCAGAATCGTTCCAAAAATGTTCAATTTTCAACTTGTCGATCAGTCTAAAAATTACCGTGTCTCATTAAATGTCATAAGCAGAGTATTTATGCCGCAACGTGGGCGGAGTAATGTTCTCATATTGCCTCCAAATGATGAGACGCTATTTAGAAGGTCCTATCCTAAACTCATTAGTTGGAAAAGACGAGAAATTCCCGTCGTTCAGAGATGAATGACTTCACGTCAAAATTCAAAGTACGACGATGAATTTATGTCTCATTATAGTATGATGAAGATAAATAATTAACTCTTAATAGTATTTGCTTAATCATCCTTGGTGTAATTTTCGCACATTTTTCTTTTCTCACTAAAAGCCGTTCTTCACTCATTCTCCCATCGCGATAAATGACCGTCCTTATCGCATTTTGCATAGGCGTTTTTCCATGTCTTGAGACATTACATTTCCGGCAAAGAGGATGCGGAATCAAGCATAAAATAAAATACTTAATTGTGTGAACAACGATATATGCAGTTTTTTTCCAATCGGCGAGTAGCCACATCCACTTTAATACCGTCCCTCTATCAATTCCATGCGGCATCGACACAAAATTCAAGATTATCTCATTCGCTCCTCATATGCATATCGTTTAATGGAAAAGCGCACAATTCCTTTTATATATTTGTTCCACTTCTCTCAGTTATAATAATAATAAAAAACGTGGACAAATATAAACATTTTGGCTCAATTCTTGTTCTCGTATATTTTGTTCAACTAAGTTTGTTTATAAAACTGCTCATTGATAGATTTCCGTAAAAAATTCTCCGTTGCAATTTGTAGTCTCATTTTTCAGTGGCTGCTGGTTCAGCCGGGCAAGGTGCAATGGCAACGTACGCGTGCGCCCATCTGAGCCTTGGAACACAGTTTATAACGCCGCCGTCAACATCGAATTGTATACAGCACACCGACAGCGACTGCGGAAGCAGGTAGATCATTAACAAATCTGAATAAATTATAGAAAAAATTGAAACGATCTCTTGCCAGAGAAACAGCGTTTCCAAAAATTGCAGTGCTTGTTTATGTTGTCAAAATACATTGTATTATTGACACGAATATTGAAATCGATAAAACTTAAGAAAAATCACAAAATTCACACGAGGGTTTCACGAGGCTTTTGTTATTTAGATAGAAGAATTTGGTCTTAAGAAAAATATCAACGTTTGAAACTTCTATTTTTTTGCATTTTCTATAAAACTATTAAAAAACCAAATTTGCCTCTGGACAATACTTCTTTTATTATTTGCTACTTCCAAAAGATTGAAATGTTTTTATAACATCGTTTTCAGCAGATGAAGTGCCAAGAAATTGTCAAGTTATAAAAGAGTTATTGATCATAAGAGGAAATATTATTGATGATTCTGATTTAAGGCAAAAAAGATTTAGAAAGAATAAAAATGAAGTTTTATTTCGCGAAATTGGCATATCATGGCCGCCTTTCTTCTCAAATTTAGCTCACATTTCTCCGAAATTCTCATTTATCGTGCATCTTCTTGATTCATTGCCAAACATAAATAATCTTAAATTATAGTATTTTTCGACGTTTTGGCTATTTCGTGATGTTTTATTCATATGTCTCGATGTTTTTACTTAATATAATTTTTGTGCAGTCGTCAATGTGAAAAAAAAGAATACATAATTATATAAACACGACGAAATACGGCATAAATTACACAAAACCATTTTTCGTTTTTTAGGAAAAAAACGAAATGAAGGGGAAACAGACCAATAATTTGCTGTAAAAACATAGGTTTTGAAAAATGGGAGTAATCTTGAAAAAAAAGTTCGGTAATCGATGGAATTTTTAAAATCTGTTTTCCCTGGAATTTTTTAAATACAAAGTATATCTTGTCCGCCGATAAATGTATTTTCTCAACGGATTTCAGCTAGTGATTTTTATCGTCGTTCGAAATCTTTCTGCGCAATTTCCGTTTAGTTTTCCGCTATTTTTTGTTATGTCATCTTTGAGAAGTTTCTCGCAGAAGCTCAAGATTGTTCAGAACCAAAATATTATAACAAGCACATAAGCAAGACAGGAATCTTGCTAAAAACTGGTATTCCTCAATGTATAGTACAATAAATCATTGTGTTATTGAATGTCAATTAGACTTATCAGAATACCTATAATCCTCATTAATGCAGTCATTCACGGTTTCCTCGTTTCTTCAATTTTTCGATAATTTGATTGAATATTAATGTATGTACATAGGGAATCTTCATCACGTATGATGTAATTTCGATAATGTGCTCTTCCCATATCCCAATTCTTGGAAAGTATTATTTTTCACAGATAAAGCTATAACTGAACATCTTAAAAATAAGTGGTAATATTGTTTTCAATGCGATGTCATTAAACCTTTGAATCATCTTTCTAAATTACTTATGACGGTCTCATTATGTTTGAATCGACCAGTCAGAATATTTCAAAATTTATGTACGGCATATATACATATATATGCATCAGATCGTTAGTTTTTACGACCTTTTAACTCCGTGTTCAACAACACATTTAGAACATAAAAAAAACTTCGAGCCTCATTTCTCACCGCCATATATTAACAAAACGATTTTCACACGAAATCGCCATTTGCCGATTCTCGTAACATCAAAAAACGCCTTTTTTGGCCACGTCCATTTTCCCTCCATTAAATATCAAAACTGTTCACTCGATGCGTCCAATTGGCTTCTTCGTCTTCTTCATTTCCTTCCCATTCTTTATTAAGCAATAAATGAAGCGACGTGTGTCACTCGATTTTTTTTCTTGGATGGCGAGAAGAAGGGGGCCCTTTCTGCATTAACTGTTCGCTCATTTTTCAAGAAACGAGCATTTGTGCCAATTTTTGTGGCGCAGAATAAGACGTGTTCGAGTGGCGTTTCATTTGGATTGGGTCCCAACACAATTGAGACGCAGATGTATCCTTTAAATTGCACTCTTATATTAGTAATTCGCAATCCATCTCTTTTAAGAGAAATTTTTTTCAAGAATTTCGATATTTTTGCGACATTTTTGCAGTTTTCGCTTCCTAGAATGGCAAGTTTCTCCGTTTGATCACAAATATTTGTTGTTTTTCTGCATTATGATTACATGGTTCCAATTTCATGACATCAACAATTATTCCGTTGGCCGAAACTCGAAATACATTCATTCCACGTAAATGTCGCTTTTTCTGAAATTTCAATTACGAAGAAAACTTAGGTTCCCTCAAATTCTTGCCCGTATGAACAAAAATGATGGTAAAATAAGACAAGAGAAAATTAAAGGTCTGGAAAATGGTCTCAGTCACGATCAAATTATTTTTCCCATTATCGTATTGGCTTTTTTCATTTTTATATTTTATTTCCTTTACACCTTTTATAGGCTCCTCAAAAAAATAGTGTTGTTAACCTAGGAAGCAGAAGGACTATTACAGTAATCCAAACCCATAAGCTCAGAGGACTACATTTAATTGTATTTGTCACGAACATGTATACATAATTTCAATCCACAAAATTATATGTTTTTGCAGTTCTGGCGCTGGTGGCACAAAAACTCAAGAGGTGTCTGACGAGTGCGCTAGCTCGTCATCACAACCGACGGAGCCAAATTTGGAGAACGATCCTTATCCGTCGCCACCGTTTCCATCATCTCAACAATTATATTCAGTGGTGCCAGCGCATCAACAATATCCGACTTCGCTTCCTGTTCTACAACCTTCTCAACCACCGCAACAGCAACTGTTCACTTCAATCCCTACTATGACACCTCTTCCTGGAAATCCGACAATGACAAATGTCGCCTGGGTTCCGAACTCACCACCTCGACCCAAGAACACAATTTTTGTACATGTTCTGGATGGTGAAACCCTCACCCTGTTCAATAATTCGGATCCCAACTATCCAGGAGGATTATACCAAGACATTGCTGGTTAGTGTCTGAATGTTTTTTTTTTCAATGGTATTCCAAAAAAAGCCGTTTGTGTTTCAAAACAAGCAATCACACGGGTGATACAACGGGAAAACTGAAAATGACTCGACACAGCACCAAACAGTTAATTGTATATACATATGTACATTCAAATAGTTTAAAAAACTACGGATAGCGATTTTTTTTTGATAAAAATAATGAATACCGAAAATCATTAGCTCGTATTCATTTTTCTGTTCTCATTGAGAGTATTTTACATATCATCAGAAAAAAAATATTCAAAACATATTACTCAAGATATTAGAAAAATTTAGCAGCACTCAATTTAGTAATTTAATAAATATCAATTCGATTAATGATGACCTAGACAGTTGTAAGAAAGGGCGACATCTCATTAACTATATGCGTATATTAAATTTCACTTTCGTCATAAAATAGGCAATGTTCCTAGCCAATTATAAATAATGATGATCACGGGATATTTGAGAGAAATTACAACGAATGAAGTTGATCTGTAATATACAGAAATAGAATATGAATGACGTGAAATCAAAACGTATGCAATACGTAGAAAATGAATTCTGGCTTTTTTTTTAATTGGTAACTGATATTAAAAAACACGCTTGAGATAAAAAAAAACGGTTACTAATTTTTGAAAAAGAATTCCTAGAAAAATGCAGTTTCGAGCACGTGAATTCTTATCAAGAATTCGTTTCTATTCTGGGAAAAAATGTTTTAAATTTCAAGTTTCCCCAACTTTCATAGAATTTTAAAATGACTTATTCCGCAATTTTTTTTAAACGAGAGAAACAGCTTTGCAAATACAAATAGCGCACCTACTTTACTTTTAAATCATAAGAAACTTTTTTTTAGTTGGTGTGAGTCATTTTCGGTAATTATCAATTGACGAAATTAAAAAAAATATGTCCAATCTTCTCAAATAACTTTTCCACAAAAATTCATACATGTTTGTGGCTTGAAAACATAACATTTTGTATTTGGCATACATATTTTAAGCGCCTAGTTTTTTTTTAACTGTCACGAGTAGATAGTGCAACGACCACGAAAACATTCACAATGAAAAGTCACTGTTCATTAACGTCAAATCAAGATAATATCTTGACAATTTAGCAATTCCTCTGGAGTTACAATAGGTTCTCAAAACTTTCCTCTTCGGGATGTTTCCAATATCGGATGAAAAAGTTTGAAACAAGTTCACTGAGAAGTTTGAGACGATTACAATTTCATTCGCTGGCGGCAAACGTTCGCCAAATGAAATGCCATGCCGATTTCATCAAATTAGTCAATGAATTCTTCAATTTTTCAAATGCTCTTTCCTCATCCACAACCATCTAAATTAAGCCGACTACCAATTTGCTTCACATATAGCTCGTAGATATTGCACATATTTGAATATTGTTTTTTTTTCAAAAATATTCACTTCCTCCCCATTAACATATGTATGAAAAATGATGTCGAAAGTCTCAGATTCCGAGCGTACTTCACATTTTCTATTTATTAATTACACGCGACACAAATTGCGGTTGAATCGATTTTCGGCAGCTGAAATTTACGATTCAGGTCGCCAGATAATTCTTGCTTTCATTTGCTCGTTCCGATTTCAATTCTATATTTCGAGCAACTAATAATAGCTCTTATATAACCGGAATTTGGCATTTTCTCGATTTTTGTTTGGCTCCAGCACATTCGATTTGAAACTCTTTGAAAATCATTGCCCTACTTCTATTAAATCAGCCCATTTACTCTACAAATTGTCTCAGTCATCGTCGTTTCTGCATATCAAGTGGGCGTGTACTTTATATTACGGTGCAGAGCTGAATATTATTCGTTTTTTTAGACATAAAATTAGCCGTTGATCCCGCCCATTCGTATCGAGAGAAGTAGAGAAAAAAATATATCTGGCCGTGAAGGAAAAGGGTGGAACCGAGAAGGCGACGGCAAGCCCACATTGCTGAGAGCAGAGCCAGTGATTTGAACGAACGCATTTTCGCGATGTATGTGCCGAATCAAATTCCTTTCCCTCCTTCTTATATCCCTTCGCGTTTCCTTTTCCAACCGCGGTATCGGCAAGCTATTCCTTTACCAGCTCCACCAACAGAGCCAAAGCCAATGAACCAACCCAAGAAGCAAGAAACTCAATACGAGCAAGATCTTCAACACCATCAACAGCAACAAGTTCCACAAAATTCGCAACAACCAACTGTGGTGAGTCCGGAGCAGTCAAAGGGGGTACTTCCAAATCAACAACAACAAAACGCCGAGACTAATCCAAATCAGCAGCAAAATGGAGTTGATATTCCGAATCAGCAACAACAACAGAAGACAGAACCGACATTTCCAAATAAGCAGCATCAAGGATGTTTAACTCTAAATCACCAAAATCACCAAACAACATCTTTTCCGAATTACCAGCAGCACAATGGAAATGCTTTTCCAAATCAGCAGCATCAACTAGCGATGGCTATTCCAAACAGCGAGCTTTCCGAATTGCAAACAGCGAGCTTTCCGAATTACCAGCAGCATCAAGGGAATGGATATGCGATCCGGCAGCAACCGGCAGTGGTGGCGTTCTCGAATCACCACCAACTGAAAGCAGGATCTCATTTAAATTATCAGCAACAACGTCGATTAGCGGCATTTCAAAATCAACAGTATCAGCAACGATATCTGGCAATGACGATTGCAGCAAGACGCCAACAGCTAGCTTTTGTCAATCAATGGAAACCAAATCCGCGTCAATCTTCGTTATTAGGAGTTCCACCATTATTCCAACTTCCACCAGGATCATTTCTACCATATCCGCCACCACCACCATACAAATATCTTCCATGTCCATATCCTCATGGTAGGCCACTTATTCGAAATACGTATAAAAATGATGTTTTAAATTGAAAAATCACGTTAAAAATGCCGTAAGTATGACGTCAAAAAATGCTCAAATGTCCAGAAAATTTTTGAGCTCAAAAAGTTGGTTGGGCAGGAAACCTACTCCAAATACGCTTAAAATAGCTTTTGCGATTTAGGAAATGGTTGTACTTTTTTTCAATTTTATTTAGATTGCCACGACCTTTTCAACTTGTTATAACTGGAGTATGAAAATTGAGGTTGTGCACTCATAATAAAACTTATATAATTCAATCAATCCCCCGTTTTATTTGACACGATCTGTTTCATACGCTCTTTAGCGGTTGACAAAAAAAACCAGATTAAAATTCAATTGAAGCAAATTGAAAATCTAATGGAAGCCCTCCGCTCAGGATCCTATTAAAAATTTCTCGAATATCGCCAAAGCTTGTACAATTATGGTGTTTGAGCATACACCCGAAGAAGATGACGTAACCGGAGGAAAGAGAAGGGGATCCTAAATATAGAATGCCGTTGATGTCAATAAGAATGTCAAAATGGGGTTCTTTGAATTTAATTAACATAAAACGTGATTTCCACAATAATTTTTTGCAAAATTTCCGAAATAATTGTGTTTTTCGCATAGAAAGTCGAACGTAGCAATTAAGATTATTAGATTTCAAGAATCAAACGGATATAAATGGCAGTATCTTGTGTCGTGTCGAAAACCCGTTGATTGCATATACGTAGTTATGACTTGCTATGAATAGGTTGTAGTTTCTAGATTTCATGACGTGTTTGGAATTCGGGGGTGGATTTGGTTAGTTGCCACCGCTTTCAGCATCACTGCTTGAACTTTAATTGACACAATTATTATATTTGTCAGGACCCGCTACGATTAAAATGGTTGGCGATATGGGCGGAATGCCGTTGGTTCCGTTTCCAATAACGGTGCCGCCCGGACATCAATGTCATCAGATTGTCGACGAGCTTGTAAGCAAATAAATTGGAGAACGCGATTTTATCAAACTGCCTTTGTTCAGGGCATTTTGCGTCACGTTGTGTTGTCCATCGAGCCAAATGCTCAAATCGGAGCAGCTCCTCCAGAAACGAATGTGAGGATTGATGTTGTGACGTTTTTTAATTATGTTTGAACGTTTAAAGGAACACGGACATTGATATGGAATTGAAACCAAGAATGAAAACCGCCTATAGCAGAATTAGAGCTAACATCGAAAATTCAATTTTCGTTTTGTCGAAATCAGACGTTAAAACCTTTTGTTCATTGTAAAAACGAAATCACCGTAAGTGTTGAACTTCAAACCTCAGAATTTTTTAAATGTCAATAGAATTGTGATACAAACATTCTAAAACGTGATATCTGACACTTGTCTCCCATTTTTCTCATTTTTACTGGGTATATTTTTGAATCAAATTGAAATGTTTATCATCGTCATTCAGATTGTACATCCTATTTACTTGTAATCTCCCCAATTTTTCTCAATAAAAGTTCCAAACTATTCAAATTAATATCAAGTTCGTGTCCTTTAAACGTGATTTGAATGTTATGTGGTTTTCAACACGTTTGTATAGGTGGAACAAACCAATGGGACATCACCTGGCGAATCTCAACCTCAAGAGCAGAGAGCATGCAGTGGTCCTTCAATTATTTATAACAACAACGGCAAATGGATTCCAGCCAATCCTGAGGCTGTATTATCTCTGAAAGAGGTATACACATTAAAGGAACAACCAAATAATGAGAAAATAATGTTGAGAAGTGTGGAATTGATACTGAGAGCGGGGAAAAACTTCGAGAGACATTAAAGCAAGTGACGCAACCTCACATCACTCGCGCTCTCACTACGAATGGCGATATCAATTGGAAGTCAGCCGAGCAAACGCCTGAGAAGCCTGATAACAAGGGTTTGTACCCGTCGTTGGATACTTCCGAGTACACCTACCAAACCACTGCTATCGAACCGAAAAGACAGCAATATGTACAACCTTACATGTAAGACCAATTAATTAAAAAAGAATTATGTAACTCAATTAATAGAACGACACCAACCCGCCCAGACCCGCCGCATATGCTGAGGTTATTAGTCGTTCAGTCAACTTTTTTTCAAATGAAATTATTCAGGGTTGTGAACAAAGGATACGACTTTGTTCATCTTATCTGGAAGTCGGGCAATAACAATGGCGCTGCAATTTATTTATATTATGTGTATGTTTTTCCGGTTCACACAAATAAATGAAACTGATAATTGAAGTTATGTCCTCGTACTTCATAAGTCGGGAATTATTGACGGAGCAACCTTCTGCCAGTTTGATTGTTGCGAAGGGAAGATATTGGGTTTGAAGCCATCCACAAATTATAGGTAATATTCTAAATAAATTACATAAAGGTAATTCCATTAAACAATTATAAGTTCTATTTGATAAAATGTGATCCAACTTTTAGAACCATTTTGATACGAGAAAAATATTAATTCAAATTACAGGTTTTGCATCAAATCGGTGAACGCTATTGGGGAATCGTATGAATCGGCCCTGATCGACGTCGGGACAAAGTCTGACAGGCCACCACCAACACCAAATGCACCTGCAGTCACCAGTGTAACCCATCGTGCTGTTCGACTTATGTGGCTTCCACTCAACGAATGTGTTTACGGGGTATAATAATCATCAATTAATATTTTTGAATTTCGATGAATTAAGCTTGAACAAAACGATGTCAACAGACAAATTCATAATGTTATTCGGGAACGACTCACCGGTACCACTATTCAAATAGGAAATCTTCAACCGTATGTTGAGAGAAATATAAATCAAACAATCGATTATATTTAAGAGACTCGGAATATCATTTCCGATTGTTTGCCAAAAACAATGAAGGTGAATCAGAGCGCTCCGATTGGACCGTTGTTAGAACACAACTGCCAAGACATTACAATCATCATAATCACTATTATCATAGTAACCATTACGGTAAATTGAATATGGATTTTGATTTGTTGAATTTTGAAATTCAGAAACTCCAGCTCGTGTTCCATCGACTCCAATATTCCTTAGATATGTGAATAGGAAACCAGAAGTGGGATGGAAAATTTCTTTAAAAAATCACAAGTACTCTAAAAAGTGTTATGCTTATTATGGTGTTTCTCTAGGGATCTTGTCTTCAATCTCGAAGGATCGACATACATCAACCCGGAACACTTTTTCAGCATTTACCGGGGATCAGCAACCACTTATGTTATTGCTGAAGACGATATTTATCAAGTTCGCGTCCAATCGATTTCAAAACGCGGGGTAATGAGACAATAATAAGCAAAAGCAAATTATTATCATTATTGCAGTTGAAGAGTGACTTCACTAATGTGCTTATTGTTCCAAGAATCGAGAAGGAAGAACTCGCTGCTCCAGATAAACCAAAACCTCCGAGGCTGATGACGAACAAAATGGGAACTCTTCGCATCATCTGGGACCCAGTAGAATACCCGGTAAGTTTCAAAAATTGTGTGATCTCTCAGTTATTAATTTGTATTTAGAATAAAAATTTCACCGTTTTCTACCGTCTACAGAGAATCGATGATGACGAAACAGCTCATGACATTTATACGGGACCTAATACCGAAATTCTTTTTAATGATGAAGACGGTGATATGGAAATTTCTCTTAGGGTAATTAATTATAAAGTCTCGACGGGTATATAAGCGTATTCATTTAGTTAAAATCCTTCATTCTTGCCAACGAAGTTCCGATTGATAGTGACTGGAGTGAAGTGATCACACGCGTGACTCCAAGGAGAAACCCCAAGCCTCCAACTGATTTGCATTATGACAGAGAAGCGTATAAAAAAATAATGTAGTATACTTAGTGTATTACACTTTAATTTCAGAAAGGAGATCTGCTGGGATTGCCCTGATGAGTGGGATGATCTTCGCTTCGATGTTGAAATCAGCTCTGAGGATGGAGTAATTGTCCACGAGGAGAAAAGAAGCAAACGATATTGCATGGATTGTTTCGCGCCGGGATTCCTTTATAAATGTGTCGTCTATTCAATTCATGACGATGGAAAATCGAATGATCCAGCAATATATGAGTTTATTATGCCCGCGGAGGCTCCAGGTGGTCCAGAGCGTAAGAAAATATGTTCTAATTCAATAAAGTGTGTGCCATTCTTAAGCGAATAATATCAGTCCAGAGGGAACTGATAAGTTGACTGTTCGGTGGACACCAGGAAACTCACATGGTAACCCGACATCTGATTACAGATTCAAAATCTTCGAAAAAGATACGGTATATATCTTTATCTTTATATGTTTTATAAATGGTTGAACATTTGAGATGGTTCGGGAATTCACTGTGCCCGCAAATTCGTATTTCGAAGAATACACCATTAACGATTTGAAGCCAAATACCGCTTATCGAATCGAATTAAGAGCCGAGAATCAAATCGGCCAGAGCCCGCCAGCTTTCTTTAATGGAAAAACAAAATCGCTTCCACCGACACCACCAAAGTAGGATTTGTGCGTGTTTGGACGACATCAGAAATCTTTTCATTTCTAGATTGGAATGCGAGCCCGAGCCAACGGCAATTCGTCTTCGGTGGAAAACCGATGTACGTCACACTGCAATGTCGTATAAGTAATGGAATATTAATAAGGAGAGACAAAATTTCTAATTGCGATATTTAGACTAGTGCGAATCAAGGATGGGCAGCAAATCACTATCTACGAAGGAGAAAACTTGACATCCAAAGTAAAAAATCTGACTCAAGATACCGAATATGAATTCCAGATTCGGGCTAGCAATAAGTATAACACATCCTAAACGATTGTGAATTTATATTACAATGAATACAGATTGACCGGAACTTCGGTTTGGTCTCCAGTCTATAAGTTCCGTACATCTCTTGCTCCTCCACCTCCAATTCGAACATGCCCAACTGTTACGAAAAACAATGGCAAACGTGATCTATACACAATTCAATGGACTGACGTTCTCCAAAATACAAACGAAAAAACACATTTCTACCGTTTGCAAGTTGTAGAATCCACTGATCCAAAAGCTAAATGGAATACGGTGATTATATTTAAAATATAAACCAAATAATTTTAGAGTTTAGGTCTATGAAGGCAATCAAACCGTATTCACACTTAAAACCAATGGATACAAGGGACCAATTCAAGTACGCGTATTTTGTGTTCGAATTCACGATAAAGGCGAAACTCGTGGACATGAAAGCCCAATTACTTTCATTATGAATGATCAAGAGGAAACTGAACAGAAGGTTACAATTTTTTTTTAATAAAAATTCCACAAGTGATGTTTTAGCCGATCTCGCAGAAATCCGATGACTTACAAATCTACTATGGCAAAATTCGAAAATGTCTGCTTCCAATTGCTGCTCTTGTAACAAACTTCAATAAAAGCTTCGATGATGAGAAAAATTTCAGATTTCATTCATCATTGTCGCTTTACTTCTCGTTACCGTTTGCGATATTTTATTCAATATGACTCAAAATACACCTATCACCGAACCGGTTTATGTGCCACCAGCTCCACCAATACCAACACCACCACCTACCACTCCGCCAATTCCATCAAAACAGTATATTCCACAATCTACAGGCCATTTGGAGTATTGATATAGATGAATCAATATTCTACACGCATACATATAATAGCACTACGTTCACCTGATATTTCAAACGTTTTATAATAATAATAATAACTATAATAATGATAATAACAATAATCACAACTTTTCAACACCTCGCGTTATATCATTTCAATATAACATCAATAGCTTTACCGGGAGAAGATTTACAAAATTTGCTTTTGAATTGAAAAGTGTCATTAACAAACTATTTTTGCTGCATCCGTTAAGATTTTGCTATGTGAAAAGCATTTCAAGACAGGAACTTTTCCGAGCCTAGCTCAACTTTTTTCATTATTACTTTCCGCTAAAGATTTCTGAAATCTATGTATCGCTATGCATTAATTTCCAACATGTCTATTTTTGTCTGTAAAGTAACGCAATCCTATCAGTTTTCGAGTATCATGCCTTCTCTGTCATTTCGAAACCGTGATTTAGTTTCTGTATCTTTAGGGTTCTTCTCGTTCCGTTTTCTGTTTTCAAACTCAACTTGTCTGTTTTTATTGGTTTATTTTTCTTTATTATTTTGCCAAACTTTCAATTTTTCTCTGCTTCATCATGGTGACTCAATGTTTTTTTTTGTTCGTTTCATAGTCATTTTTGTAGATAACCAGTAAGCAAACGGTGGATAGCATCAACCGAGTGTTTAAAATTTTTTTTTCATATTTTGGTTCTGGCATTTCTGTGATGCTACGAATAACCACATAATCATGTTAAGCTGCGCTCGCATAATTATTTTTTAAACTGCTATTTTTATTTTTTGTTTTCAATGAAATCCTTTCAAACTTGGTATTATGACAACACAAAATAAATCGTAGATATTTACAATTTCTAAAACATTGAAAATTTTTCGATGTAAATATTTGTAAAAGAGGTGAGTGCATGCCTTCATCATGATTATCTCTATGTTGTTTGAAAAAAAAACTGCTGTCTAATTCTCAAAATCATACAGGACTCTCAGACTATGTATACAATTTTATCTTGTTTTTCAGTATTTTTATGCTTTGGTCTATGTCGCCAGTATCGCAGTTTTTTAGTTTCAATAAAATATTTTTTTTTGTGAAAATATTGAGTTGTTTCATTTTTATTTCCCAATCTGTGCAGTTTTGTTTTACATATATACATTTATCATTTATCCAAAGAATCCTCCTTCCAAGACCGACACTGGAGCTTCGGCAGCAACTCCAACTGGGTTTGCCATCGGAATGCTGGAAATCTTCAAAGCATCGTTTACAGCGAAGTTACTGAAGAATTCCTCTCTTGGGCTGTTGATATCGTACTGTAAATGAATATTTGAAACAAATTTGAGCAATTTGAATAAGTAATACCTTTTCTGGAGTTTCATAAGCGGCCAAAATAAGATTTTTAGTTTCAAATTTACATATTTTAGTGCCATTATAGTGAGTGTTAATATGAAAGTCTTATGGAGAAATGATAAGCTCAAAAGCAACTCCAAAATGTTTCTGAACAAATTGATGGACAAGCTGTAATATTGTAATGATTCACACAATTTTATATATATACGTTTTTTCTTTTAATAAACCTGAGCGATCTGGCTGACTGGTTTGATTGGAGCAATTCCGTCAAATAGATCCAAAGTATTCATGCCAGTCTCGACGACAGTTTTTATTAATGGATCACAGCAGAGGTTTGATCCAATATTGAGTTTTGATCTTTCTGGGAATGCTGGACATGAATCAGCAGCTGAAACAATATATGCAATAGGAAAATATATTAGAAATAACCATAGGAAAACCCCAACATAATACAGCACAATAGTGCAATAAGGAAATTCATTCTGCTGAATGTTCTTGTTCGCTCAACGGAAGTTTATAAACGGCCTAGAATGGGTCGTCCCACTAATTGTTAGTATTTTGATTTTCTTTAGTTCTCATCAATGCAAACGCTATTTTATAAAACACTCAACAGACGTGAAAGTTTAGATCTTAATTGAGATAACTTCGATAATTTACAAAAAATTGTTTATTTCTTTTAGATATCGGTCTGCGATATTGTCTGCAAAATTCAATTAATTTGATGAAAATGAAAAGAAACTTGAAATTTCTAACTTCACGAAGTATTGCTGCAGGTATACAGACTTTTATTAAAAACTTTTGCATCATTGGCAAGAAAGTAATGACTGATCATATCAGTCCTTATTAATTATCTAGCTTTTTAAAGTATTATGACATCATTCATCATTTCAAGGTGAATATTATGTCTTAGTCACTTAATATTAATTATATTTATTTTAAGTGGGTGTATTCCAGACGAACAATACTTTGGTGATTTCTATACAGCAAAAAATAATCAGGAAGCATCTTTATTTACAGACGTGCTCAGTAGTGTCACAAAAAATTAAAGTCTTCTTGGATCGATTGGAAGATCAGCAATATTTGGATGTCTGATCGATGAGAACGCGGAGAATTTCTCAAAATATTCCTCAAGCTTGGCATCATGGATGTTGTACTGTAATACATCAGAGTTGCAAAATTTACATACATGTCTAGTCTTACATCTCCTGGGGTTGGGTAAAGAACGTAGTGAAATCCGTAGTCGGTATCATGTCTACAGATCGATCCATTATAATTACTTCTGTGTCCAATCTGGCCAGTTTTGACTATCAAAACTTCATGAGATCTTCCAAACTTCTGCTGAATACGGTTACCTAAAACCTAAAAAGCAAGAAATTCAAGATTGGGATAGTTTTTCTTACAGTAGTGTATTTCACAATAGTTTCGGTTTTACCCAATTCGGCTCTAGTGGATTCAATAACTGCTTTATAATCTTCACTGCAAGTAACCGGAGCATGACCCGGTGGGTTGTAAGGATCGGAAACTTGTGGAAGATCGTCGTATGCTGAATGAGCAAGAGCCACAAAGCTGATCAAAATAGCCGTTTTAAACATCTGCAAACAAGGAAATGGTAAGACAAGAATGAAGGTGTCGTGCGACAAGAAGATGTGACCGAATAGAAATTGAGACGGTATTTAAACGAGTCGCGGTTTGTTACAATCAACGCCAATGCTTCAGCCTTGAAGCAACTAAATGTTGCCCACTTAATTAGGCTTCACAGTCTCTTCACACGAACAGGCGTAAGAACTGGATTTTTTCAAACAATATTTGTGATTTCTGCATTCGTATAGCGTGAGATCCTCGAAATTGACCATGAGAGATTAGGAGAATATAAATGGGTCTGATGGAAGGAAAATTTTTTTTGACTATCAACATGTTGCCATTTATTTGAAATACACCTTCATTACATTTTTCATTGAAACCACACATATACATAACCCACAAATATAATAGCAAAAATTATTTCCGTTTTATAATATTGATTTTCGAACTACTAGTACTCTCATTGAACGGTAATATTGGCCCGAAAAAATTTTGTGATCATTATCATCAAGTTTTACATGCTGGACTATGTAAGTTTCGAGATGTTATCCAAACGCGGAGAAAACTTTTATTGGTTTACACTCAAATTTGTAAACAGAAAAAATTGTTGGTTATTTTACAAGCATTGACAACGTTGAAGCAGGTAACGAAAAGACAGAAGTGAGTGAGAACAAGGAAATTTTGTATTTATATTTTTGTACCAAACAAAAACTATTTTAGACGTCAGTGGTGGTATTGTCAAGTTGAGCAAAACCCTCTCAATATGACCAGTTTTTTTCTGCAATTAGTTTGTTTTTTGAACGATTTTTTAAAAATAGTAGTATACCAAAAGAGATCAAATGTATGCTGAATTTTCTACATCCTTGGTGGGGGACAATAACGATCCTCTGTTATACTCATTGTAGATCGTCGGCTGAATGAGACGCTGCTGATTTCCGGATCCGGAGCTGGCGGCAAAGGAGCCTCAGGCGGCGGCTGTTGCTCGGGTACCTCTTTCTCAGCGGTTGTCTGTACCGCCTTAAATTGTGTTTCACGCGCTTATTATCTTTTGATTGTACCTTCTTCTTTTTCACAAGCTTCCGGAAAGTCGCAATGCGAACCGCTACAAACAAAAGAAGCGCTATAATAAATATGGCAAGTCCGACAACGAAAACTGTCATGGGCCATTTGACCTGAGCTTCGGAACGGACCAGGCAATCCACTGAAATGAATTGCGAACACGTCTTGTTTTGAATGTTCTTCATACCAGAGGGTCCTATCATTACAAGGCATATTATCAAACCAAGGAACACTACGCAAATATTTGGCAATAGAAGGTATGGCGTTGTCAAATGAACGGCAAGTAGTGAAAGAATGTTTGTGAGGAGCCACAATGCCTGAAACTCTCGAGTTTGTTTGACTTTCGGTCTTGCATTAATCATAAATTTGATTTATGCAACCAAGTGCACTGCAATGTTTTCCGGACAACGCAAATGCTGTTGTCTGGTTCTCTGAAGTTCAATATCATAAAATAACCAACCTGGACGGCTAATAAGGGCGCCAGAAAATGGAACGCAATGACTTTGGCAAAATCCTGGTGGTAGTGCTTATAAGTGTCATTGTCAAACTCAATGATATTTATGAGTGTGAAGATAACGCAAGGTATTATTACCAACGTTTCAATTGTCTGAAAACTATTTTCTTGTTTCTGGAGGATTGAGTTTTTCTTTAAATGTTATAATAGAATATTTTCTAAATTTTTGTGAATTATTACATAAGTAATTTCATTGTTAATTTTAATCTTATTCGGGTTTTCTTTTTTTTTATTTTAGCCTAGACCCGTTTCAGTTCCCTTGAATTATACCTGAATACATTGTTCAAAGTAATTTTTTCTCAAAAGTTTTCGACATTATTTTCCGAATCCTAACAATCGTTTTTTTCCCTTCTTAATTGTCGACGTACTAGTTTTGACCATTGAATTCATTTCCGAAAAGTTGTTGAGAAAGGTAACACACTTGCCCCTCACAACAAGTGACCTTGTATATTGACACTTTACCCATTAATTAGTCGCCGGTTGGTGAATAAAAAAAACTCACGACAATGCTAAACACCAGCGCATTCTGCGAAGTGGTCGAAAAACATTTGTTTCCGCTATCCCCCATATACCCGCTTTATGCTGAAACAAAAAAAAAATCGGTTTGAACGCGGAAAAAATGACGCTAATAGGAATGCAAAAGCAGAAAGAAACGAGAAAATATTGAGTAATATGGGTTGGGTTATAATAAAAATAACACATGGATTACCTTCGGAATAATGCATTCGTTCAATTTGAATGAATACGAATGATATGAGTTTTGAAGGAATTTTCGAGAAAACCACAAAGCTAACTAATTTCATTTATGGAGTTCGTAATGTAATAATACTTTTCTTATAAATTGAAAAATATCGGCATAAAAACTGAAAAATTATGAACAAACGAAAAATGTTTTTAATAAAAGGGTTTGAGGAAAAGAAAAAGGAGTAGGTTATTTTGGAGATTGTTCAAGAAAGCACAATTTCCTATTTCGCTTTCAGATGGCCACCAATTATCTACAAACCATAAAATTTTCATATTACATTTTACGTTGTCGTAAGACAAAATTGAATCGAAAACGAGAATTGGTGCTGAGATGATGGAATAAAGTCGATTCGAAATTTTTGCACCTGCATCGGACGAATGACGATTTTGCGTGAAAAATGAAACAAGTCAAACATCTGGCAATTGCGGTTCTCTTTTGAATCTAATTGATTTTTCAAAGCGCATATGTAAACGATGGGCAGTAATGGTTCATGTCGGCTTCGATTCGTCTTACCCGTATATTACCGGAGAATATTCAAGAGAAGTGAATGTCTCAATGAAAATGAAAAAAGTGAAATGAGCCCAACCACTAATTTATCGAAATGTTCATTATACTTTTAAAAAAATGAAAAGATTCCAAATTTGGAGAACATATGACATTGAATATATATTTACAGTAATGAATGAATAACTGGGAACAATTACTGGACCGCGAATTGTCAATCAAAAGTCTCCCAATTACGGGACGAGAACGGTTTAATATTTTTTCTTATTGGAAATGAAAGAAACTACAGAAAAAAAACTAAAAAAAAGGTTGTATTTTTTCCTGGTAATGAATGAATTACTTTTAATACGTCAAATGCAACATCTTTTAAATTTTGTAGTTGGAGGGATTTTGAAACGATCACATATGAGTGGGCGCTCTTCACAGCAAATGACTCGCAACGCATGAATCTGCATATGTTTTTGGAACCTGATGCATAAAAAACAATTCTATATGTATGTAAATGTCATCATGTAACCGGAAATTATGCAGTTTTCTTGCTTTTTTTTTCAAGCATGACTTAATTTATGTTGTCATTTTATATTGATGATCACTTAGTTAATTTTTTTAAGAACAATTCTAAATAATCTTTGAATTTATAATTCGTTAAAACACTTTTTTCCATCGTCACCAATTAGCGGGAAATTAGATAAATGCTAAAAAAATAATTATGGGATAGGTGGTCTCACTATGTAGATTTACGCGCTAGACAAAATAATAGGTTGTAGGAGCACCTTACGTGATATGACCTCTTCCTAATTTAGCCAATTTTCTGCAATCGTGCGACATAGACAAAATATTTTTTAAATGAAAAAAGTTATGGAAAAAAATGGTGACGAGTTGTCATGGAAGGAAAAGCAGTAATCTTATGAATAAGTGCGTTACTATAGTCAGTGCGGGGGAAATAGGAATTGTGTTCATAAACAAAAGCGATTCAGGCAAAATTTATTTGAGAATTCGGGCGCCATAAAAATACAGTTATGTATAAATAATTGTTTGCCTTTTCGCAATATTCACAATGGAAACAAATTCGAAGCGTACCGCTGAGAAAAAGAGAAACAATAAAATAAATACATATATTTTTTGGTGTCTCTCCACGCTGGCATAATTGTGGATTGATCGAGAATGGAAGAAAAATTTATTTGCGCACCTGCCTAATTCCATGTTTATTCGTTTGAGAAATGCACTGGGTGAAAAGCAAGGCGTACATAACATAACAGAAAATCAAATGTTTCTTTCCTTTTCTTCTCCCAGGGCAAAAAATAAAGATTGGCTTCAAGTGGAAAAAAATAATGCACACGTTGAAAATACTCATGCGAGCATTCATCATTTTTTTTTTCGACGGAAGGAAAATTCATTCGAAAAATGTGAGTTGTTAAGAAATAATTGATTGCGGCAACTATTTGTTAACTATTTTTTTTGGTGTCTCATCAAAAAAAAAAAGTTTGTTCGAAATTTCCCTAGCTGATCAATTTCCTCCATTAATAGTGAGAACCGTGCAATAAAATTGTTTTCAGAGATCGAGAATCTGTTGAAGTCGAACAAAAAATGTGAAGTACGAGGAAAAATGCCCTGGTTTGCTATAATCTTGACAATTTTACTACGTGCGATAAACATGTTGCATTTTACGCCATCAATATTAGGCAAATTTGTGCCCAATTATTGAGTGCTTCAGACAAATTAGGGTATTTGACAAAAGAAAATAAGTTTTCGACGGTTAATGAACAAGCATTTAAATCATCTACATACTGAGCTATTGCTTCATTACTAAAAGTTTGACAAAAATCTACATGCTACCTTTGCCCACAAAATTCGCCGGTAAAATGTGATTTACTCATATATTTATACAGATTGCTTTTATATCAAATTTGTGAACATTTTTTATTATTCACATAACGGAAAGAATAGAATGTGAAATATGCATGAGAGCTCAGTTTTTTAATTAATACTAGAACAAACGTGAAATGAAATATTTTTCCTGAAAGGAAAATCTTAAATAGTTTCAATTCTCTGCACTATACTACATAAATGTATTCCAATGTCGTATTATTGAGCAGGAGGCGGCTAATTAACTAACAGCTCACAAGAGCCAGCTTCTCTGTGGGAAAATAAGCTGTTACGTCATGATTGGTATTTTAATGGCAAACGATCCATTATTTAGGCTAATCCTAACAAATAATGGCATTTCCTTAACAAATGAAACAAATAATAACTGACTAGTGCGAGTGAGACGAATGATTGAAAGGGGCCGTGATTCCAAACAATTTAATATGAGAACGCTGGTGTTTTGTGGAGTTAGTGCTCAACATTTGTTTAAGAAGGGTGCACTCTTCAATAAAATATTCGTTACGGCGCAAATTTTCTGAATGAAGGATGTGCGAAGGCGATGTGCGGATCACACTAATATGTCACTGCTATAATAGGAGAAGAATGCAAATTGGCACGAACGGCCAAATGTATGCACATTCATAATGCACTCAAGTAACTTTCACATCATTCATCAATTACAACGGACGCCGCGAGACAACCAAGAAAATTTTGACAATAATAATTATCGAATTATTTTAAAAACTAGGCATATATTACGAACAAGGGCTATATAAATTCACAGCTTTTGTAGTATCGATACTTCTTCTTTCCATGAGAACAATGGAAAAAAACAACATCAACCATTGGGGTGAGCAAAAAAAAAAGCGTAAAAAGGTGTGAAATGACGATCTCTCGAAATTGATAGGTTCGACGGACGGCAAATAAAAACAAGTCAAAGTAAATAAAATAGAATTGAATAGAAAAGAAGAAGAAGAAATGGAGAAGCGACCAGTGGGTTTTTGCGGAAAAAATCTGAAGCGAACTGACCGAAAAATTCATTGGGCGATTTTTTTGTGTATGTGGGCACGAAAAAACATTTTTTTTTTCTTGCAAAGAAAGGATGAGGAGAAATGGAACAAAAGACATCAAATCGCCAAAAAAAAAACAACAACCGGATAAAATTTTTGTGTTTTTTTTTTCGTTTCGTGTTCGCCGCGTATCCCGAAACTCTAAATTTTCTGACGGCATTTTGTCACATACACAGGCACGCCATAAAGTCTACACACACATACACACAAACACACACACACAAATACAATAAAGAGCTCTCATAGTGAGCATGTGCCGCTGAGCACCCAATGGTTTCCTGTTTTTTTATGCTCTTTACTTGATTCACTCATTGACTAGACAAACAGGACGACACAAAAACACGCGTTTTGGAGTTCGATTTCACCGTGTAACTCATCTTGTTTGCCGCCATTCATTAATCTTCTTTTTTGTTGCCTTCGTTGTGGACTTATACTTCAACACACCGTATTGTTTGTTTAGTATTATGTGGAAGAAAATAATATTTGAAAAACAACTGAGTTTGATGTGAACATTCCGAAAAAAAATTCACTATTCGAATTGATTGATCGTTTCCGGATAATAGATTTTCAAACAATTTCCGGAGATTTGACGCCAAACATTGGGAATCGCACGGCTCACTCGTATCGAATAATTTTGTCCAAAATTGGAATTTGCAAAAAAAAATGAGCGTCGTGAAATTGAAAACGTCGACCGGTCAGAACAATGTGCAGTAAACAATCTCATTCAGATATATGTGTTGCCAACGATGTTTATGGGTTCTTAGCGCTAAATTCCACACACACATATATACATAATTAGAAAATCTTCTGCTAGTTTTTCAAGTAGAATAAATGCTTTAATTCTGCTAGGAATTTCGAGGTTCAGAGAAAAAGTTACATGGAATATATAAAGTTATATAGAGTTTTTTTTATTATAACAATCGTTTAAAAAAGACATAAACATGCGAAAATTTCAAATTTCGAAACAAATAAAATAATTCATTTGGAGACAATGGATTGGCAATAAGGGTATTGTCACCAATAATAAAAGCGCGCGAAATTCAAACCTTACGTCCACGTTTTTCTTTGCTAGACAAAGGCAATCACAAATTTGAAACTGGGAAATTGTAATTCAAAAAAGAAAAAGAAACATTGAATTTGGAACTTCAAAAAAGGCTAAGAAACGCTATTGTTTCTTTTGAATAAAAACTACGGAGTGTATTAAAGTTTTATAACTTCCACATTTTTTTTTCAAAAAGTGCGGTATTGTTTCACTTTGCACTTTTGTTAAAATAAATTGTGCTGATGTTGATTGTACCAAAGATGGACTTGTATGCCTATGATACATTAAAGGAAATATTGAAGCATAGCGAGAAAATGCAAAATCAAGAACAGCACATGAAC